CAACGCCGTCTGCCGGCAGGAGTATGGGCTGAGCTGGATGAAAGGTGAGGGGCTGGAGGTCATCGTGAGGCCTGCAGGCTGGGTCCCACAGAGTTGGGGCTCCCTGTGTCCTCCTCACTCTGTAGCTTGGGAGCTGGCAGGTGCAAGGTGGCAGTGGAGGCCTGGTTATCATCTCCATCAGCTCCCTGCCAAGCTCAGCCATCTCGAGGGCCAGGCCCCTAGCTCTGTGTCCTTTTATATGCTCTGACTCCAGCTTCGTTTTTGTTTTATTTTGTTTGTTGGTCATGGGGCTTGGCCTGGGCCCTGTCCCTGAGGTCTTTTGCCTAAGGCTAGAACTATACCACTTTGACCAACAGTACCGCTTTCAGTTTTCTGGTGGTTCATTGGAGATCAGAATCTCACAGACTTTCCTACCTGAGCTGGCTTTGAACCGAGATCCTCAGCTCTCAGCCTCCTGAGTAGCTAGGATGACAGGTGTAAGCCACCAGCTCCCAGCTCCAACTTTGATTTTTGATGATACTGAGATTTGAGCTCATAGGGTCATACTTGCTCGCCAGATGCTCTAGCACTTGAGCCATGCCCCCTGTCCTTTTTCAAATAGATTGCGATTTTTCCTGGCCTGAGACTGTGATCCTTCTTCCTATAGCCCCCTCCTTAGCTGGGATCACAGACATGCACTGCCTCACCCCAGCTTTTATTTGTTGAAGTCTTAAGGACTTCTCACCCCACCACGACTACCTCCTCAGGCTAGCCTTGAACCCTGATCCTCCAGAGCTCAGCCTCCTGAGCAGTTAGGATCACAGGCATGAGCCACTGATGCCAGCTATAAATTGGGAGTTTGATTGAATTTGTATGGACTTCAGTTGTGAAGTCACATTTTGAACAGTACCAGCCAAGTCTATGGTGAGGGAGCTGGACACAGGCCAGGTGAGGGATGAAGACCAGCAGCAGGGCTCAGAGTTGTCATCCCTGTTCACAGAGCATCAGGAGCAACAACCAGCCAGTGCCCACGGGTGTCATGGCAGCGAGAGCCTGATCCCACAGCCATGGTGCTGGGTGCAAAGCCCACTATTGCCCAGCAAAGAGCCTTCTCTGACTCTCTTTATGTGTCTGGACAAAGCCACTGGTGTCCCCTGGAGACAAGGCCAGCTGTGGCATTTATAGGAGGTTCTCTGGAGGAGGGCCTCGCCGACCGCCCCCAGCCAGCACCCTGGGCTGAGGATCCTTGAGCGGCACACCGCACAGCTGGGGTGACATACAGAGAACACCCCATTGTGTGTCATGGCCGTCCTCACACGCACAGAGTAGACGCTCTGTGCACACTTGTTGAATGGAAAGGAGGAGGCCATTGTCCTAAAGACCCAGTGAGGCTGGCGCTGTCACAGCCCCAAGGCTGGGAAGCAGCTGGGACAAAGGTTTTGTCCCTTCTCAGAATCATCTGTGTGTCCTTTCCTGACCCAGGGTGAGCAGGGGGGACCCCGGAGGCCTGGCAGGGGCTGTCTTTCTCAGGGTGTCTCTGTGCATTTGTAGGCTTCTCACAGTCATATCAAAAGCCACCCCTGGATATCTGGGGGTGGCAAAGAATAAAGGGGCAGCTGTAAAAGAAGGGAGGTCTTGCTCAGGGCCGGTGGCTTACACCTGTAATCCTAGCTACTCAGGAGCCTGAGATCTGAAGATCTAAGTTGGAGGCCAGCTTGGGCAGGAAAGTCCATGAGATTCTTTTATTTTATTTAACTAATTTATTTATTTTTGGTGCTGGTCCAAGGGCTTGAACTCAGGGCCTGGACACTGTCCCTGAGCTTCTTTTGCTCAAGGCTAGCACTCTACCATTTGAGCCACAGTTCTACTTCTGGCTTTTTGTAGTTCCTTGGAGATCAGAGTCTCATGGATTTTCCTTCCAAGACTTTGAACCTTGATCCTTAGATCTCAACCTCCTGAATTGCCAGGATTACAGCCATGAGCCACTGGGGTATGACTTTCTATGAGATTCTTTTTTTTTTTTTGGGGTCCAGTCGTGGGGCCTGAACTCAGCCTGGGCACTGTCCCTCAGCTCTTCAGCTCAAGGCTAGCGCTCTACCACTTGAGCCATAGCTCCACTTCCGGCTTTTTTCTTTTTGCTTATGTGGTGCTGGGGAATCGAACCCAGGGCCTCAGGCATGCAAGGCAAGCGCTCTACCACTGAGCCACCTTCCTAGCCCCTCTATGAGATTCTTACCTCCAATAAACCACCAAAAAGCCAGAAGTGGAGCTGTGGCCCAAGCGGTAGAGTACCAGACGAGCAAAAAAATGCTCAGGGACAGAGTGTAGGTTCTAAATTCAAGTCCCAGTATTGGTGGGCATGTGCGCGCGCATGCGCACACACACACACAGGGGAAGTCTTCCCCAAGCAAAAGGGATACCTACCCCATGAGTTCCTCGATGGTGGGTTGATGTACGAGAAGGGTAGAAATGGCTACACCCACCCCAGGCCCCTCACACCTTCCATCTGTCCCTCACCCTTGCCAGAAAAGATCTTCTCAGAAGAAATCCCCAAATGCGAGAAATGTCAAAGTGTGGTCAAGCCTGGTGAGCTGTCCGGCCAGGGACAGGCCTGGGGGTGGTGTGGGGATGGGGTTTAGGGTTGGGATCCCCCCCATCCCTCCCCCACTGATCCTGCTCTTCAACTCTCCTGGGGAGAGGAGAGTTCTGTCTTCCCCACTGGCTCCCACTGCCCCTCAACTCCCACCACGGTGCCTGGGGTCTGCCTCCCCTCCCGCCTGTCCTCTCTCTACCTCTCCATTGATTGTGTCCAACTGTCTCCATGTCTGTCCATTGGTCTGTCGGTCTCTACCTCAGACATCATATTTTTTGGTGAGAACCTCCCAGCACGCTTCTTCTCCTGCATGCAGTCGGTAAGTGGCCCCCAGAGCCCTGCAGTGCCTCGGGCAAGGCAGGCTTCCCTTCCTCCTTCTGTGGCCCTGGCTCCTGAGCCCTCACCGGCCACTCCCCACAGGACTTCATGAAGGCTGATCTTCTCATCATCATGGGCACCTCCCTGCAGGTGCAGCCCTTCGCCTCCCTCATTGGCAAGTAGGTTGGGGCTCTGAGCTGGAAGTGGGGGGGGGTGCCTAGGGATCGGGGAGCCAGGACAAAGCCTGACCCCCAGCTCCCCACCCCAGGGCATCGCTCTCCACCCCACGCCTGCTCATCAACAAAGAAAAGACGGGCCAGGTGAGTCCGGAGGGGAGGGGGCTGCCCTCGCCAACCCTCTGCCTCCTGCGTCCCATCCCTTCCACCCATCAGGGGTCCAGGTCACCTTTGGTCATTCTGGAACCTTTTGATCAAGTGACTGTCCCACTGCAAACCTGCGATGAAGGGTAGAGGTGACTCATGCCTGTCATCCTAGCTGCTCAGGAGCCTGAGATCTGAGGATTGAGGTTCAAAGCTAGCCCAGGGAAGTAAAGTCCATGAGACTCTTATCTCCAATTAACTACCAAAAAGCTGGAAGTGAAGCTGTGGTTCGGGTAGTAGACCACTAGTCTCAAGCAGCAATGCTTAAAGGACAGCATCCAGGCCCTGAGTTCAAGTCCCAGGACCAGTGCACACACACACGCACATGCACACATGCACACACACATACATACAACCCATCTCTTTTATGTGGGAAACCAGAAAGAGAAAATGCTCAGTGATCCACTGTGGGCAACACACCCTGTCTGGGTTCCCCAGTTGTCCCCTCTATACACAGAAAGAAAGGAAGCAGGGTACACTCAAGACAGGGCCCTGACCCTTAGCTGGCCTCCTCTTACCTCCCATGCAGACAGACCCCTTCCTAGGGATGATGATGGGCCTGGGCGGAGGCATGGATTTTGACTCCAAGAAAGCCTACAGGTAAGAGGGCGGGGCTTGGGGGAGGAGGAGGGGAGAGGTCACCCCAGAGCTTACTCCTGTCACAATGCAGGGATGTGGCCTGGCTGGGTGACTGTGACCAGGGCTGCCTGGCGCTCGCTGACCTCCTGGGATGGAAGGTGAGGAGTCCAGTGATCCCAGCCCAGCCCCCCACGCCCCAGCCCATCCACTGGAGGTCCCAGGACCCCAGCCTGTGTGTCCTGTGGTCCCCAAATGTGTGGTGACCTATGACCTCTGCGAAATCTCTCCTCATCCTCCCTCCCCCCCCCCCCCCCCCCACTTACAGAAGGATCTAGAAGACCTGGTCCGGAGGGAACATGCCAGCATAGATGCCCAGTCGGGGTCAGGGACCTCCAACCCCAACCCTACTTCTCCCAGGAAGTCACCACTTCCTGCCAAGGATGGGGACAAGACCACAGAGAAGGAGGGGCCCCAGTGATGGACACCAGCCCCCAAACCAGCACAGCCCCTCCAACCTGCAGCTTAGGTCTGCAGGACTCAGCACACACGCTTAGTCTCTTAACCACCACTCAAAACTGGGGTTCCCAGCTGTCTCCACTTTATCCTGGCCAGTCTCTAACACCCACAATCGCTAACCACCCCCATAAAAAACAGCCTCCCTTAATCTCTAACCATTTCCAGGGGTCAGGGGGACCCCCCCAACTTCTAACTGTTCCAGGACAGAGGGCTGAAGAATCCCCCCACTCTACTCTTCCCAGGGACTGGTAGCCAAGTAAACCAATGCAAATTTACCCCAGTTTTCTCAGGGGTGGGGGGCTCTGAGCCTGAAGGGCTCCCCAGTGGCTGCCTCCAGTTCTCAAAGTGGGTGCTGGGCCCCCCTTCTCCCTTGGGACCCAATTGCCAAGTGGGGATGGGCAGAAGATACTGCTTATTGGAGATAAATTAAAAAGTGAAAGAACTAAGCCTAAGATGTGTGGCCTCTTCCTTTCTGTGGGTACCTAAGACATTTGAGCAGGGGCTGGCCTGGACCCTGACTATCTCCAGGCTGGGAGAAGAGCCAGCAAGGCCCCCTACTAGTGGGTGGGGCCTCCTCAGGAAGGCTGGGTACAAATTCCCCCCCCCTGCCCCGCCTCTTCCCCTTGCACCTCGCTTCCTCTCTAGGGAGTGCTTTCATTTCCTGCTACCCTGCCCGGAACAGGTAGGCCCCCAGGGACCCAGCATCTGGCATACTCAGCTGGCTTCTGGTGACAGGCAGCTGTTCCATTCAGCCTTGCCTGGCACAACCCATGTCCATCCATCGTCGTCCCCCCTCCTTCCCCCCCTGCCCAAGGGCTTAGGTGGACATCTTCCTCCTCCCCACCCCCTCCTTCCTGCTCTCCCCTGTATGGCACACCTGCCCCTGCCCTCTGCCCTCTCAACCCTCCCAGACTGCTGGCCAGCAGGCTGATTTGTTTAGCTGTTTATTATCAATCTTCCACAGGGAGGCTGTGGGCTGGGATCCCACAGAACAGGGGCCCACTCTGTTTTCCAGCCTCCACCCAGGACACTGCCACCAGGGCCTATGTTCAATAATACTGGATGGGGGAATGATGATGGATGGATGGATGGATGAATGGATGGATGGATGGATGAATGGATGGATGGATGATGGATGGATGATGGATGGATGGATGGATGGATGATGGATGGATGGATGGATGGTAATCCATCCTATGGATGGATAGGTGGATGAGAGTTAAAAATGAATAAATGGCCAGGCACCAGTGGCTCATGCCTGTAATCCTAGCTACTCCGGAGGCTGAGATCTGAGGATTGAGGTTCAACACTAGTTGCAGGAGGAAAGTCCTTGAACTTTTCATTTCTAATGAATGTCCAAAAAGCCAGAAGTGGAGCTGTAGCTCAAGTGGTAGAGTGCTAGTCTTGAGCAGAAAAAGCTCAGGAACAGTGCCCAGACTCCTCTGAGTTCAATACCAAAAAAGGGGGGGGAGGGAAATGGAGAGGGCGAGGGAGAGGGATAAAGGAAAGAAAGAAAAAGAAAAAGAAGGAAAGAAAGAACAAGATGTCAAGCATGGTAAGGAGCTATGGGGTTCCTGCCTTATCTCAACCTTACCTCCTGGATCTTCGTGTCCTTACATCCAACAAGTAGAGATCCACCCTTGGAAAAACTGGGGGCCTCTAGGCCCATTTTGATTGGCCAGGCTTTCTGCCTATGAGCAGCCTTGCGTTTTACCTTCCTCCTTGCCACAGGCCACACCATGTCTCCCTGGCTTCTGGTACCCTGAGGATGGCTGAGCCAGATGGCCCAGCTGGAGGACAGGGCCCCACCAGGGGGCAGAGGTGAGGGCTCCTGCCCCCAAACCCGCCACCCCACTTCCACCCCCCCCCCCCCCCCCAGCCTCTGTCCCTGGGCTTCCCAGCCCCTGTCTACTCTGATTCCTCATCCGGGCCCTGCACGTCCCAGGCTGTTTCCTCTACAGACAAATGGAGCAGGCAAGACCCCTCGGGGGACCCTGGGCATCCCAGTGCCACTTCTGCACCTGCAGAGGGGATGGGGGGTGTGGCAAGTCCCAGATCTGGATGTCCAGAGAGCTGAGGACCTTGTGCAGCTGTGGCCACCAGGGGTGAGTACATACAACTCGGGAACCATGCTCACAGCCTCATATCACCTTGTATCAACAACATACCACCAACTGGGAAATGCCCCTAAAAATATTCATTCAAGTAAAAGAAATCCCCAGAAGTCAAGGTCCTGAACCTTAGACAACTTGGAAATTTCTCTTGATTCAATTTCTTGGATTTGTCTTTCAGTGTTTGATGTCGAGCCATTTGTCTTGCTGGTGTAGACAGAAAGGCAGTGGCCTGGGCAGCAGCCCCATGACCTCCTGGCCAGCTGCCCAGCAATTCTTCCATTTCCCTTGCATTTCCCAGGGCCTACAAATACACACCAGGCAGGACAAAGGGAGGCCCCCATGTACCTCTAGGTTTTTTGTTTGTTGGTTTTGTCAGTTGTGAGGCCTGAACTCTGGGCCTGGGCATTGTCTCTCAGATCTTCAGCTCAAGGCCAGCGCTCTACCACTTGAGCCATAGTACCCCTTCTGGTTTTCTGGTGGTTAGTTGGAAATAGTCTCACGGACTTTCCTGTCTGGGCTGGCTTTGAACTGTGATCCTCAGATCTCAGCCTCCTGACTAGGATTACAGGCGTGAGCTACCGATGCCCGGCTAAGTTTTGTTTTTGGTTTTTCCACCTCTTGAGTATAAGTGGATCCTGGGAAGCAAGATTTCTTTTTTAATTAAACTTATTTATTTGTTTGGTGGTTATCAGGCTTAAACTCAGGTCCTGGGCACTGTCCCTGAGCTGAGCATTCTACCACTTGGAGCCACAGCTCTACTTCTAGTTATTTATCTACTTCTATTTAATTGGAGGTAAGAGTCTCACAGGTACTTCTCTACCTGTGCTCACTTTGAATCTTGATCCTCAGTTCTCAGCCTACCCAGTAGCCAGGATTACAGACCTGAACTACCAGCACCTAGAAAAAATTTTATTTTATTTGATTTTACATTTGCCTGGGGCTTGAACTCAGGGCCTGTCCCTGAGCTTCTTTTGCTTAAGGTTAATAATACTCTACCACTTGAGCCACAGAACCACTTCCAGCTTTTTCTGTTTATGTAGTACTGGGGGCTCAAACCCAGGGCTTCGTGCATGCTAGACAAGCACCTACCACTAAGCCACATTCCCAGCCCAAGATTTTTATTCCAAATTCATTTTGTTAGGTTTTTTTTTTTAAAAAAAGAGGTAGTCAAGTAAGAACAGCACCCGCACGTGGTATTCAGGTAAGGGGTAGGTTTATTCAGTAGACCTGCTGGGACCAGGGCAGGTTGGCACTCCACGCGGCTGAGAAAGGCCTGGGAAAGACCTGAGAAAGACAGAGAGCTGGGAAAAGAGGTGGGAAAGAGCTGGGAAAGAGGTGGGAAAGAGAGAGAGCTGGGAAAGAGAGCAGGGAAAGAGAGAGCTGGGAAAAAGAGCTAAGAGAGTTGGGAAAGAGCTGCTGAGAAGGAAAGAGCAGAGAGAGCGTCTGTGTCTGGGCGAGGCCTTATCTAGGGTATGGGCGGAGAAAGGTGTGGCCACATCAAATTCAGATGTGACCTCAGAGGATGCAGATGTGACCTCTTCTAGGTGTACCAGTTGCCTAGGTAATGCAGGTACTGGGTGGAGACTTTTCTGCGAGGAGGGTGGAGTCTTCTCGCCACCCAGGAGCAGACCTTACACATTTGGCCTTTCTTTCTTCCTTCCTTCCTTCCTTCCTTCCTTTCTTTCATTTTGTTTTTTTTGGGGGGTCCAGTCGTGGGGCCTGAACTCTGGGTCTGGGCACTGTCCCTGAGCATTTTTCACTCAAAGCTAGCATGCTTACCACTTTGAGAGACAGAGCCACTTTCCAGTTTTCTGGTGGTTCATTGGAGATAAGAGTCTCACAAGCCAGGTGCTGGTGGTTCATGCCTGTAATTCTAACTACTCAGAGGGCTGAGATAGAGGATCAAGGTTCAAAGCCAGACAAGGCAGAAAAGTCTTGTGTGATATTCTCTCTCTCTCTTTCTTTTTTAATATAAATCATCCTTCTATTTATTTATTTTGTCAGTCATGGGGCCTGAACTCTGGGCCTGGGTGCTGTTCCTCAGCTCTTCAGCTCAAGGCTAGCGCTCTAACACTTGAGTTACACCACCACTTCCAGCTTTTTCTGCTTATATGGTGCTGAGAAATCGAACCCAGAGCCTCATGCATGCAAAGCAAGCGCTCAATCACTGAGCCACCTTCCCAGCCCCCAGGCTGGCTTTGAACCATGATCCTCAGATCTCAGCCTCCTGAATAGTTAGGATTATAGGTGTGAGCCACCAGCACCCAGCTCTGTGAGATTCTTGTCGCCAGCTAACCATTAGAAAACTGGAAGTGGAGCTGTGGCTCAAAGTGTTTGAGTACTAGCCTTAGGCAAAAGGAGCTCAAGAACAGTGCCCAGGTCCTGAGTTTAAGCCCAGGACTGACAATAAAAAGAAAAAGAGGGGGCTGGGAAGGTGGCTCAGTGGTAGAGTGCTTGCCTTGCATGCATGAGGCCCTGGGTTCCATTCCTCAGCACCACATAACCAGGAAAAGCCAGAAGTGGTACTGCGGCTCAAGTAGTAGACTGCTAGCCTTGAGCTGAAGAGCTCAGGGACAGCACCCAGGCCCAGAGTACAGGCCCCGCAACCGACGAAAGAAAGAAAGAAAGAAAGAGGGCTGGGAAGGTGGCTCAGTGGTAGAGTGCTTGCCTAGCATGCATGAAGCCCTGGGTTCCATTCCTCAGTACCACATAAACAGGAAAAGCCAGAAGTAGTGCTGTGGCTCAAGTGGTAAAGTGCTAGCCTTGAACAAAAGCAGCTCAGGGACATTGCCCAAGCCCTGAGTTCAAGCCCCAGGACTGGCAAAAAAAAAAGAAAAAGAGAAAAGAGATGGGGCTGGAAAGGCAGCTCAGTGGTAGAATACTTGCCTTGCATGCATGAGGCCCTGAGTTCAATTCTTCAGTACCACATAAACAGAAAAAGATGGAAATGGCGCTGTGGCTTAAGTGGTAGAGCGCTAGCCTTGAGCTGAAGAGCTCAAGGACAGCGCCCAGGCCCAGAGTTCAAGCCCCATGACGAAAGAAAGAAAGAAAGGAAGAAAGAAAGAAAGAAAGAAAGAAAGAAAGAAAGAAAGGAAGAAAGGAAGGAAAAAAAGAGACCTTTGGGGTCTTGAGCTCAGGGGTCATATTCTTCCACAAGGTCCTGGGATTAAATCTTCAGGAGAAAGTGGAGGGAGAAAAGAAAGAGGACGAGGAAGAGGAGAGGGGAAAGAGAAAGGAAGGGAGAAAATAGGAGAGGAGGGCAGGGAGAGGAGAGGAGGGAAGAAAGGAGCCAGTGCCAGTGGTTCAAGCCTGTAATCCTAGCTACTCAGGAGGTGAGGCTGAGATCCCAAGATGATTGTGGTTTGAAGCCAGCTTAGGCATGAAAATCAATGAGACCCTTAATAACTCCAATGATTCAGCAAAAAGCTGGAAGTAGAGCTATGGGCACTGAGTTCAAGCCCTAGGACTGGCACCAAAAAAGAAAAAGAAAAGAAAAAAAGAGAAGGGGAAGAGAAAAGAAAGGAGGGAAAGGGAAGAAGACATTCAACAACCTCTAGCAAAAATCTCATGGAACAGCTGAGCCCTGGTGGCTCAATCCTGTAATCCCATCCACTCAGGAGGCTGAGATCACAGTTCAAAGCCAGCCCAGGCAGAAAAGTCTGTGAGACTCTTATCTCCAATAAACCACCAGAATACCTGAAGTGGCGTTGTGGCTCGAGTGGTAGAGTCTGGCCTTGAGCTGAAGAGCTGAGGGACAGCGCCCATATATCTCATGGAACATGTTCATTGGCTGAGCTTGGTCACACATCCAGCCCATAGCTAAACAGTGGAAAGAGATCATTTCTATTCTGTTTAAGTCAGGGCCTGTGCCCTCACCCCTCAGAGCTTGGGGACATGAAAACCACTCACATGGGCTGAGAGTAGGAAGAGGGTTTTCCTAAGGGAAACGGGCAAAATAACCAATATTCACTCACATCTCCCTCCAGCTGACCCTTGCCTCCACCCCATCCCATAGAGTTTCCTGGTCGTCGGACATGATCCCAACCAGGTCCTGGTACTGAGGACAGGACCTTCACCTGGAGAAGTTAACACCTACCAAATCCAGAAGTTTCCCGGAGGTGAGGCACTCACCCTAGGTTTCCAGTGCACCTCAAATTTATCACTAAAGCCCATCATGAGCTTTTTCTGTTGTTGTTGGTCTTAGGGCTTGATCGCAAGGCCTGGGGGCTGTCCCTGAGCTCTTTTGCTTGGGGTTAGTGCTTTACCACTTTAAGCCACAATGTCACTTCCGGTTTTTTGGTGATTCATTGGAGATGTGCGTTTCAGGGACTTTCCTGCCTGGGCTGGCTTTGGACTGCAATCCTTAAGACTCCTGAGTAGCTAGGAATACAGGTGTCAGTCACCAATGATCAGCTTTAATCCTGAAAGATCTGCATCTACCCAGTCCCGCATGCCTCCCCCTCTTGCTCAGACCCCTGCAATAACCTCTTTTTTTTTGGGGGGGGGGTCCGGTTGTGGAGCCTGAACTCTGGGCCTGGGTGCTATCCCTCAGCTCTTCAGCTCAAGGCTAACGCTCTACCACTTGAGCCACAGCGCCATTTCCGGCTTTTTTCTTTTTGCTTATGTGGTGCTGAGGAATTGAACCCAGGGCCTCAGGCATGCAAGACAAGTGCTCTACCACTGAGCCACCTTCCCAGCCCTACAGTAACCTCTTATCTGCTCTTCCTGCTACAACCCTTCCTTCCTGCAATCCCCACGGGCACAGCGACCTAGCTGGCATTTTTATACAGCAGGCACAAATTTGGCACCCCTGCCTGTCTCAGTCCATGCAGAGATTTTACAATCTTCTTAGGTTTAGGCCACCCTTTCAGTTTTCTTTCTCATCCCTTCTTGCCTCTTTCCCTCACTCCAGGTGTGTCTCTGGATTCCTCCAACATCTGTATGCCAGACTTGCCTCATCTCCTGGCCTTCCTCTCAGCCAGCAGGTACAGGCCACCCATCAAAGTCATTCATGGGGACCCTAAGACACCCCAACCACATGGTTGTGCCCTTTTATCTTTTCTCAGGGATATCTTGCCCAGAACATTGCTCTTGCCTTCTGCAGCTCTGGGTCCTGGACACAAACACCCAGGTGAGCCCAGGTCCTCAGGAAAGAAGTCTACAGGGATTATTTGAGGGTTTATTGTTGTTTTGTTTTGCTTTGCTTTTGTACCAGTACTGGGGTTTGAGTTCAGGGCCTGGATGTGTCCCTTAACTTTTTTTATGTTGGTCATGGGGCTTGAACTCTGGGTTTGGGCGCTGTCCCTGTGCTCTTCAGCTCAAGGCAAGTGCTCTACCACTTGAGCCACAGCGCCATTTCTGGTTTTCTGGTGGTTCACTGGAGATAAGAGTCTCACAGAGGGAAGTGGTAGCTCAAGTTGTAGAGTGCTAGCCTTGAGCTGAAGAGCTGAGGGACAGTCAAGCCCAGAGTTCAAGCCCCACAACCAAAAAAAAAAAAAAAAAAGTCTCACAGACTTTCCTGCCTAAGCTGGCTTTGAACCACGATCCTCAGATCTCAGCCTCCTGAGTAGCTAGGATTACAGATGTGAGCCCCCAGCACTCAGCTCCCTTAGCTTTTCCACTCAAGACTATTATGTTAAGCTTGGCGCCGGTGCAGCGCCCAAGCCCAGAGTTCAGGCCCCACAACTGGCAAAAAAAAAAAAAAAAGACTGTCACATTGAGCAACGGCTCCACTTCCAACTTTTTTTTTTTTTTTTTTTTTTGTGGTTCATTGAAGATCAGAGTCTCACAGATTTTTCTGCCCAGGGATGGCTTTTTTTTTTTTTTTTTTTTGTCGGTCGTGGGGCTTGAACTCTGGGCCTGGGCGCTGTCCCTCAGCTCTTCAGCTCAAGGCGAGCGCTCTACCACTTGAGCTACAGCGCCACTTCCGGTTTTCTGGTGGTTTATTGGAGATAAGAGTCGCACGGTCTCTCCTGCCCGGGCTGGCTTTGAACCACGATCCTCAGATCTCAGCCTCCTGAGTAGCTAGGATTACAGGCGTGAGCCACCAGCGCCCGGCTTCCAGGGATAGCTTTTGAAATGTTATCCTCAGATCTCAGCCTCCTGAGTAGCTAGAGTTACAAGCATGAGCCATTGGTGCTCACCTATTATTAGATTTGAAGGAGAGTAAAGCTTAAAGGTGAGAGCTGAGGACCTAGATTTTGGGGCCACTTGATAAGAGAAGATAGGAGCCTAGACCCTTGTGTCCTAATAGTGGAGAGTGCTAGATGAAGAAGGAGTTAGAATCTAGTCCTGGAGGGCTGGGAAGTTGGCTCAGTGGTAGAGCGCTTGCCTTGCACTCATGAGGCCCTGGGTTCGATTCCTCAGCACCACATAAGCAAAAAGAAAAAAGCCGGAAGTGGCGCTGTGGCTCAAGTGGTAGAGCACTAGCCTTGAGCTGAAGAGCTGAAGGAACAGCGCCCAGGCCCAGAGTTCAGGCCCCACTGCTGGACCCAAAAAAAAAAAAGAATCTAGTCCTGGACCTGAGAGACAGCTGGGAACAAATTCTCCCTGTGCCTCTTGAACACCTGGGATACATTCTCACTTGCACTGGGTCCTAGATCCACTGCTGGTTGGTGGGGTGCGACTTGACGTGTCACGGAGGACATTGTGTGTGGTAAATCAGCTCTACCTGGAGACCCATGGAGCCTGGAAGATGGAGAAGGTCTCCCAAGAGCCAGAGACCAACACTGCTCAGACACAAGGGCCAAGTTAGTTGGGCAGAGCCTTGGGCCCTGAAGGTTTGAGGGAGTGGCTGTGGCTGTTAGATGGGATCCAGGAATCTCAGCAACTTCTTCCTCTATGTAGAGACCATGAAGCCAGCCCCCCACCGGGTCTCCTGGGTGGAAGGCCCACTCAGCCCTGAAGTGTGCCATCGTGGCCCAGTTCTGGCCAGTCTGGTGGAGGAGAAGGAGGAAGAGGAGGACAGCGATGTCTACAGAGATGATGAGGATGATGACCTTCTCACTGCTCACATCCGAGCTCTTGCCAGAGTCAGGAGCAGCTATGTGGCCAAGCAGTACCAGGGCCTTCAAGAGCGACTCACCTCAGTTTCGGGCGGGCCCCACAGGCCTGGAGACCCAGCCACTGAGTTGCTTCAGGATGTACGCCACTTCCTGACTGACCTCCAGGAGTACTTGGCCAAGGATCCTGACGTCAGAGCTGTCTTTGAGAACAGGGGATCTGGGGTGACCCAGAAGGAGGAGAACCTTGGTAATGGGGAGGATGGCAAGGGAGGACCCCATCTCTTTCCTGGTGGGTTCAGGTGTGACATCTCCGGGTCCCACATATGTCTTTGTCCCACGTGGACAGCACTGCACACCTGTTTCCTTCTACCCCTGGCCTGCAGGTGTGATGGAGGGGAGAGGGACTGTCAGGGAGGGTCGGGGTGTCACCTTGATGGCTCTGTCCTCACCTGCCCCTCCTCATTCCCTGAAGGCTCCGCTGTGGAAGCAGCCGTGTGCCGCGCAGTGCTGGCTCCCCTCAAACCCGCCCTGTGGACGCGACTCCGCACTTTGCGGGCCCAGGAACTGCGGAGACTGCGGCGGAGACAAATCGCCTTGAGGGCGGGGGCGGGGCCTCCGGGCGCACAGGGGGCGGGGCCTCCGGGGGCGGGGCTTGAGCGGCCGCGCCCCGCCCGCGCCCTGCGGAACCACATCCACGCCCGCCTGCACAGCTTGCACGCCGCGTGCGCCCCGCGCCGCAAGGTGGCGCTGCTGCTGGCCGTGTGCGGTGACATCTACGCGGGCTTGGAGAGGGCCGGGCAGGAGAGCCCAGGTAAAAGGACTGGGGGAGGGGAGGACGCGTGTTACCTGGGTGTGCAATGGCTTATGGATTTGGGATGGGTGTGAGCGGGAAAGCCAGAGAAGAAGCTCCTGGGCTCACGTCGGGGAGGGGGGGGTGTGTGTGCAGGCGTCTGTGCGATCTTGAGGATCTGGTGGAAGGTGGGTACCCCTCCCACCCCCCCACCCAAATAAAGCTGTCTTTGGGTTTCACCTAGAGCCCCTGGGAGCCGACGCCTTTCTGCCTGCCCTAACCGAGGAGCTGATCTGGAGTCCCCACATTGGGGAGACGCAGCTGGACGTGGAGTACCTGATGGAACTCTTGGATCCTGATGAGCTGCGGGGAGAGGGTGAGCCTCCACCTCCCAGAAACCCAAAACCCAACAGGGAGCCAGGCAGGCGCTGGTGCTGACACCTGCTAATCCTTGTTACTCAAGAGGCTGAGATCCCAGGTTCGCAGTTTGAATCCATCCTACATAGGAAGGTCCATGAGGTGTTTTGTTTGTGGTTTTGTTTTATGAGACTTGAACTCTGGGCCTGGGCACTGTCTCTCAGCTCTTCAGCTCAAGGCCAGGGCTCTACCACTTGAGCCACAGCGCCACTTCTAGTTTTCTGAGTGGTTTAGTGAAGATATATGTCTCATGTCCTTTCCTGCCTTTCCTGCCCAGGATGGCTTTGAACCATGATCCTCAGATCTCAGCCTTCTGAGTAGCTAGGATTACAGGCGTGAGCCACAGATGCCCAGATCCATGAATTTCTGTCAGTCATGGAGCTTGAACTCTGGGCTTGGGTGGTGTCCCTCAGCTCTTCAGCTCAAGGCTAGTGCTCTACCACTTGAGCCACAACACCGCTTCAGGCTTTCTGGTGGTTAATTGAAAATAAGAGTCTAATGGGCTTTCCTGCCTGAGCTGGCTTTGAACTCAGATCCTCAGATCTCAGCTTCCTGAGTAGCTAGGATGATAGGTGTGAGCCACCAGAGAGGCTTATCTCCAATGAACCAGCAAGAAACTGGAAGTGGAGCTGTAGCTTAAATGGTAGAGTCCTTGCCTTTAGCAAAAATGAAATAAAAGGCTCATGGGTAGTGCCCAGACCCTGAGTTCAAGCCCCAAGATGCCCCCTCCCTCCCCACACAAAACAGGGAAACCCTCAAAAGCTTCTCTAAGCCCCAGAAGGGAAGGTGGGCCAACTGGAGGGGACTTTAGGTGCTCAGAGAAGCTGACCTCCTGTTCTCGCCCCCAGCTGGGTACTACCTGACCTCGTGGTTTGGGGCACTGTACCACATTGCCCACTACCAGCCTGAGGCCGGCCAAGCACCCCAGGGACTCAGCTCTGAGGTGCATGCTTCCTTGCGTCAATGGCACCGCAGGCGGACACTGCACCACCAGGATCGGCCTGGGGCTCAGGTGACTGTAAGTCTGGGGTACAGGTAGAAGAGAGGGTGGATGCTATTGGCCATCTGACTCTGCCTCTCACCTCTCCCCACAGGCTGACTTGCCTTTTGAGGAACCCTGGGCAGTGGGGACTGTGCCAGGGACCAATGATGATTGACAGCTCAAAACGCTCACAGTAGACCAAGTGCAGGAGGCTGCTGGGAAGAACAGGTCCCCACCCCCCTCAAAAAAAAAGAACAACCCACTTTCAGGCCTTTGCATGGGCTGCCCTGCATCCTGGCTTATGCTTTGCTAATATCCACAGTGAACCTTCCTGCCTCTCCTTCAGGTTTCAGTCCTTAGTGAGATTCTTCCAGAGACCCCTGTCTAAAACCACACCCCCCCCCATGGACTCTTTTATGACAATCAGAATGTCCCCAAGGATGTCCACATCCCTGTGTAATCACAGGGGACAGTGCTAGAAATCAGTGGCAGTATCAGCTGTCAGGTCCCAGGTAGAGGAAAGAAGATCACTTGAACACCAGAGTTTTAGTCCAACCTAACAACATAGCAGAATCCTGTCTCAACAAATAAAAAGAGCAGGTGCCTGTGGCTCACACCTGTAATCCTATTCAGGAAGTTGTTATCTAGAGGAATGTGGTTCAAAGCCAAGCTGAGCAGAAAAGTCTGAAAGACTCTATTTCCAATGAATCAGCAAAATGCTGGAATGGAGGCTTGGCTCAAGTGGTAGAATTTCAACAAAAAAGCCAAGCAAGGTGAGGCTCTGAGTTCCAACCCAGGTAACTAGAAAAAATAAAATAGAGGGAAGCAGAGGGAAACATAAAGCTAAGGCCACCTGAAGATGGAGCAGAGACCTGAAGATGGAGCAGAGAGGGTTTCAAACATGCTGATTTTGAAGACTGCAGTGGTGGGACCACAAGCCATGGAATGCTGTAGGCACCAGATATTGGAAGAATCAAGTAGAGGATTTTCTTCAAGCCCTCCAGGGGGCGCTCAGGACACTGTAGACATTCTTAATTTCTGTTCTGGTTCCAAGATTCTGATTTCTGATCTCTGGCCTCCTGAATTGTGAGAGAATAAATTTCTACTGTTTTAATACCTCCCTCCCCAATTGTTTTCATTTGTTACAGCAGCTGAAGGGAAGTAAGAGTTTAATATATAAAATAGAACCAGGTACCAGTGGCTCACACCTGTAATCCTACATACTCAAGAGGCTGAGTTCTGAGGATTATGATTCAAAGCCAGCCAGGGCAGACAAATCCATGAGACTTATTTCCAATGAACCAGCAGAAAGTGGTTCAAGTGGTCGAGTGCTGGCCTTGAGTTGTAAAAGCTGAGATAAAGCTTTTGACATCATCAATAGAACCCAGATCTGGTCACTTTGTTAAATGTGGGTGTCGCTGTGACACGAAATCCTTGAATCACAGGCTGGGTTTTACTAGATCTTTTTTTTTTAATTTTAGTAATTTTTTTAGGCCCAAGACTGGAACTCAAACTCAGTACCTGATGCTTCCTATCATTGGCTGATGCTCTACCAACTAAGTCACGCCTCCAACCCCTCCATATTCCTTTTAAGCCAGGTGTCCTTGAAGATCATTTCTTCTTTGCAAACATTTCTGCAGTCAGAGAGTCATTTTACCATGTTTCCTTTTCCAGGACAAGTGTCTTTCTTTAAGCTATCTGTGCTCAGCCCCCAGAGCAAAATGATCTTTTGGGTTCTTAGAATAGTAAATGATTTGGGCCTGCCAACAAGGTCAAAAGAAAAAAAAAAACTGTCATTTTTACTAAATGTTGCAGCTTACTGGGAGAGTGGGAATCTTAGAGCAAAGAATGTAAAAACAGTCTGTGCTTTGAATCAACTAACCACTAATGCAATGTTAAGTTCAAAAACTGCAAGGAGAAGCCTGGGGCTCAGAAGGTGGCTCAGTGATAGAGTGCTTGCCTTGTATGCATGAGGCCCAGGATTCAATTCCTCAGCACCATATAAGCAGAAAAGGCCATAAGTGGTGCTGCGGCTCAAGGGGTAGAGTGCTAGCTTTACGCTGAAGAGCTGAGGAACAGTGCCCAGGCCCAGAGTTCAGGCCCCATGACCCTGACCAAAAAAAAACAAACAAAAAACCGGACTGTTCCTTTGCAAACATTACACAGCATGTGTACTTTCAAAAATTGCAGGGGAGGGGATGGGAAGGTAGCTCAGCGGTAGAGTGCATGCCTTGCAAGCATGAGGCCCTGGGTTCGATTCCTCAGCACCACATAAACAGAAAAAGCCGGAAGTGGTGCTGTGGCTCCAGTGATAGAGCACTAGCCTTGAGCTGAAGAGCTGAGGGACAGCGCCCAGATCCAGAGTTCAGGCCCCATGACTGGCAAAAAAAAAAAAAAAAAATTGCAGGGGAGCTGGGAATGTTGTGGCTTAGTGGTAAAGTGCTTGCCTAGCATGCATGACGCCCGGGTTTCAATTCCTCAGGGACGCACTCAGGCCCTGAGTTCAAGCCCCAGGACTGGCAAAAATAAATAAGTAAATAAATTATAGGAGCACAAGTGGCTCAAGCCTGTAATCTTACCTACTTAGGAGGCTGAGATCTAAGGATTTAGGTTTGAAGTCAGCCTGGGCAGGAAAGTCTGTGAAATTCTATCTCCAAAAAGATAAAAAGAGGAACTTGTTGCTGGAAGTGAGTACCAGCCTTGAGTTAAAAGGCTAAGCAAGAGTATGAGGCCCTAATTTCAAAACCCAGTGCACCCCCCCAAAAAAAGCATCAGCTTATGGGTTCTAATTTTATCAGGTAATAATTCATCCACTTTGGTGCTCAAGTTGCTTCATTTCCAGGTAACCCCTACAGACATGTTCCATTACTTTTACACACCCATGTTTTCTGGGTCAACAAAATGATCCTGGAAAGATCATTTTATTGGGCCCCAGTGACTTAGGCAAACCATTGTTGACAGGACTCTGCTTAGCACCAGCTTCTAAAGAGCCCAGGATTTAAAACTGTAAGGAGGTAAAGTAGTTAGGCTCGTCAGGAGGTAACATTTGAACTAAACGATCAGATGAAAAGTAGCAAAATGTTTAGCTGGGCAATGGAGGCGAAGGGGTGAGTCAGCTAATGCCTCCTAAGATGATAAGGACCAGTGCAACCGGCTCTTTTACAGGCTGCTCTGCTGTAAGAATTCCCAGCTGTCCTTTCCACTCTGTGAATTGCCCCCCCCCCCAGGGGAGGGGACCTCTCATGACTGTCCTGGAACGCTACTGATCTCCGCTAATGAGTTATCAGAGGCTGGCTAAGGGCTTCATAGCTGCACCCCCATTCTAAGCTGCAGCCCCTTGACCAACGCAGGCCCTGCCCAGTCCCGGATGTGCTGAATCAGTTCTGACTGCAGACAAACCCCGCCCTGCCCCTTACCAAGCGGTGGCATCCTGGGCTGGTCACCTGCATAGCTTTGGTTTTTTATTATTCTAAAGGTGACGTACAGACCGGTTACAGGTCGGTAAGTCAGGAAAAGAGTCTATTTCCTTTTGGATGAGCACCCCTTCCCTTGTTCTCTTCCAGTTTTTTCCTCCCACCCCCCGCCCACAATGGTTGAGTGTATTTTCCAGTGTCCGGTGCATTTGTTCACCCTCTGTCCCTCCATTTCCGTGCCTCCCCCCCTTTTATGACTTGTCTATCTTGAACCCAATTCCCCAACAGTACAACGTATACACCCCCCCTCCAAAATAAAAACCCCACATACTTCAACCCATACACAGCACTTGGCGACCCAAGGGAGAAGGACGCCAGAACCCCAAACATATGTACAACTTTCTGCAGGCCAGGGGTGGGAGGTTGGGGGGGGGAGCCCAGGGGAAGAGGATGCAGAGCCCCTAAACGCAGAGGCTTACACGCTCTTCCCGTTCTTTACCGGCCGTGTGGCCTCCCCCTCCACCCCGCCCCCCACCCCCTAGCTGTCTGATTCCGTTCGTTCCTCCACCCCCCACCCTCGGGGCTGAAAAGAGGTCGTGGTCCCTTTAAGGCCCGCCCCTCCCTCCCCCAAAACTTCCCAGTGTCTGTTCTTTCGGATCCCGGACGCCCGGCCAGGCTCGCCGCCGAGCTGGTAAGGGACGGGGAGGGGAGTGGGGAAGTGGGATGGGGAGGGGCGCCAAGGGGTGGGTGTCTCCAGAGAGGGCCCCCCCCAGGACGGGCGCCGGCGGCGGGGGGGGGGGGGGGCGGCGGGCGCGGGGCGCGGACGGCCACCGGCGGGGGCGCGCGCGGTGGAGGGGTGCGGCCTGCTGCTGCGTGCGGCGCCGGGCGGGTCCCGCCGCGCTCCGTCCGCGCGCGCCGGCGCGAGGGGCGTCCGGGCTGGGCGCGGGGGCGGGGAGGGGAGGGGCCCCCTTTCCTCCTCCCCTCCCCCCACCGCATTCCGCTGACGTCAGGACCCGGGGCCCCGCCCCCGGATCGCGTCACGTGACGCAAGGCCGAGCCTCATCGCTCCTTTTCTCCCCCCCCCTCCGCTTCCCGCTGTATGTCGGCTTTTGGGGTGGAAGTGGGGGCGGGATAGAAGCCCCTGCGTTCAGTGGGTGTGTTCTTTCGGGTTCCCAGCAGACACTTCTGCAAAACTTTTCTCTCCACCCCCCCCCCCCCCCCCCCCCCGACCTTTCCCCAGTCCCTGATCGGCGCTGGGCTTGTTCGCTCCATTCCAAACTTAGTTGCTGGGTGGACCCCCCACTACGGGAATTCCGAGTTCACCCCGTGGGAAAGGTCGTTGATCACCCTTCAGGGGTGTCCTCCGCCTTTCCCACGGTTCGAGACGGCTTTCTTGCCTTTTTATGTTTTTCTTTGTGAGTTCCTTGGGATGGGATGGAACCCAGGGCCTTGGAGCAAACCAGGCAGACCTTCTGCGTTATCCTCTCCACCCCGCCCCGCCCAGGCAGCTCCCAAGGACTAGATCTGGGGTCGGGACCTCTTATCCCCGCCCCTAGTAGGGCAGGGCTGGACTGTCTGAGAGATTCCGCCCCCCTGCGAAGCATTCCTGGGGTCCTGCCCTCCGCTCCCCTGTCCACGTGGGGTCCGTGATGACCCACGGAGGCTAGGGCGGGCACGCCAGGAACGCAGGCCTGAGTTTCGGGCGCGGGGAGAGGACTAGCCCAGGGATCTGGATCGGTAGGGGACCTGGGAAGTGACTCCTCACGGTTAAGGAAAGTTAGCTCTAAAATATACTGAAATGATTTATTGTAGCTGAAAGGTTGAGGTAGGGTGCACAGGGTTGGAAGACAGTCGGCAGACACGAATGGCAAGGGTCGGATTTGTGGGTGGGTGTGGTGGTGGTGGAGAGCTTCCGGCCTTGGAAAACTTGGAGGTGAAGTACGGGGTACTCGGATGGGGGGGACACAGCTGCTCCGGAAAGTGACCAGTCTTAGTGTAGACTTCCGGCGATGCGAACCGCCAGCACTCGATGACGCGATGGATCCCCCCGCCCCTTCCCGGGGGAGAGGGAGCAATCTGCTCTTGTATGTTTGTCCCGCCTCCGGAGGACCCTTAAAAAAAAAAAAAAAGGGATTGGAGCATGCGTCCTCCCACCGATCCCATTCCAAAGGGCGCCGTCGGTTCCTTTTACCCAATTAGAGGCCATCATTAGTCCCACCCTCTGGAGAGTGGATACTCTTTCCACTCTCCATTGGACAACCCGGAGGTGACGCAGAAGATGGGCGTCTGCGGTGACCACTGCGGAAAGAGAGAGAAGGGAAGGCCTTTCTTGTCTCGTCGCGAAGTGGCGCGGGAAGGTAGTGTTCTGACTGGGGGACTGAAGACTTCCAATTTGACGGATTAGCGAGAAAACCAACGAAAGTGGGAAGAAGGCGGAGCCTGGCGGGATTTTGGGAGCGCCGGTTCTATTAGATGCTCCTAGGGAGGCTGGGCAAGGGCAGAAATGTGACCTATCAAATTGGAGTTTATTTTAAGACCCGGGATTGGTCAAATGACTGGCAGGAAGCGCTCACCTATAAGAAGTGTGTCAGACAAACGAGGGCGGGCCCTTGCGCAGAAGGGCATGAGCAGCATCCAATAGGCGCGCAAGGCGTGCAGAGGCTTCCCCTCCCCCCACGGCAGGGTTAGTGGCTCCCCCTATCGGGTGGGGGCGGCGAGTGACGGGCGTGTCCCTCCCCCAATGAGAGGCGGGGGGAGGCGGGTTCTGCGCCGCCATGTCGCGGAGGCTGCTGCCCCGGGCGGAGAAGCGGCGTCGGCGGTTGGAGCAGAGGCAGCAGCCGGACGAGCAGCTGAGACGGTCGGGAGCGATGGTGAAGATGGCGGCGGCGGGTGGCGGAGGCGGCGGAGGCCGCTACTACGGCGGCGGCAGTGAGGGCGGCCGAGCCCCTAAACGGCTTAAGACTGAAAACGCCGGTGACCAGCACGGAGGCGGTGGTGGCGGTGGAGCTGGGGGAGCGGGCGGCGGCGGCGGGGTAAGGCCAGAGCTGTAGGTGCTGGGGAGGGAGGAAAAAGAAAAATCTCGTACTTTGGTATTTATCTTTTTTTAGGGGGCCTCTGCGCACGCGCCTAGGCCTCGCGCCTTGGACGGGGTTGGGGGAGGGGCAGGCGTTGGGCAAACGGCCGGGTTTGCGCGAGGACAGGCGCCTGCGCATGCGCGCAATCCTGAGCTGGGGGTGGAGGGGGCGGAGGAAACGGTTCGCGCTGCTGGAATCTCATTGCGCAGGCGCAGCGGGCTGACTTGGGGGCCGGGCCTCCCCCACCCCCCTTTATCATTTTCTTTGGCGTTGACCGCGTGCGCAGGCGCGGTCCTCTGGTCTGGCCTCGTGGGCCCATGGTTGGGGAAGGTCACCGCGTGAGCCGGAACGAGTTAAGAGGGTGGCCTTGCAAATTTGGGATTTCTGTTGAGTTGCAATTTAATCTCCATAGTGTCAAGTCTCGATTTCATAAAAGATACTAATTTCGCTGAGATATCCACCCTCCTCCTTTCCCCCTCCTACTCCCCACAAATCCATACATCCCTGTTTCCGTGGGCCTTGCAACGGGGAAAACGATTTTGCTGTTTGGGAATTGAGACAAGGGTTGAGGCCATCAGGCCATTGCTTAGGATTTCCCGGTATGAGAGTTTCCTGATTGCGGATTCACTTATTAGAAGAACTTGGCCATGTGGTTAAATGACAGCTTAAGTGAATCCTATCTGAGGTTTCAGGGGAGGTGTTAGGATTTCTGACTTACGGAATAGGACACAGAGGTTAGGTAAATTTTAAGTCATGTCGCTAAAGGGGCAAGAGGGCTAGGGTTAGAATTCGGGTTTTGGAAGCTGAATTGCAGAGCTGGTAATTAGCATTCTTCCGTGGTTTGTGTGGCTCATTCCTGAAATAGAATCCAGTGGGTTCCTTCCCACTCCCACTGCTTCTTAAACAGGAGGCCCCCAGAGTCCAGAAGAGATGGAGGAAAAAGTTATTTTCTTCCTGAGTCCCTGAGGTTTCTGTCTGTGGGTGGAAAGATACTACCCCTGAGAAGGAGCTGTCTTGTCTCTAAGTGGTATGTTTTGGAGTTTGTGTTTCTGAAAGATTTGCGTATGTTTAAAAACTAGTAATAGTAATGATGGGAGATCACCTGTCTGCCGTAGTTTCTGAGGTACATGTTGTTTTGACCTGATTATCCTTGGGGGTGATCAGAGGGGAGCCTTGCCTAAATGGAGGGTGTTGGCTTGCTCAAGCAGAGAAAAGGCAAGGAAGTTGGGGCATATACATAATGCATGTGTGGTCCCTTCTTTCGCATGTTTCCCTTTCTATGTCACTCTTGCCCATGTTACCTTGATGGAATATAAGAGACACCTACACTTTGATACTCCATTTTGCCTTTGCAGAAAGAAGCCTTTTGGGTGGAATTGCTTGATTGGCTGGCCCTCTCTGCCCTCTGCATCCTCCTGGGTCACCCCTGTGGTGACTTGACTGCCCTCCTCCAATATTTGAGGCTACTGGCTGGCATCTTATGAAGCAGGACATGAGATCTTGTTGCTTTCCTTTCTCAGGAGAACTACGATGACCCCCACAAAACCCCTGCCTCCCCAGTTGTCCACATCAGGGGCCTGATTGACGGTGTGGTTGAAGCTGACCTTGTGGAGGCCTTGCAGGAATTTGGACCCATCAGGTACTGGCTTAGAGGGATTGGATCCCCAAAAGTCAACTTGGGCATTTTTATGTGGCACTGGATTGTGGTTGGAAGTTAGGCTATTTGGGTCTGCAGGCCTTCCTTTGGCTCCTACACATGGTCATTGAACTTTGGTTCTGTATTCCTTTGTCTCATAGTTAGGTTTCATTCTTATAGCAAATACTTGTTAAGTATATGGCATGTACTAAATATGGGGAGTACAAAAGTGAGCAAAACTGCCTCTCCCAGAAAGAACAGATTAGAGCTGTGATAGGTGAGCCCAAGGGTCTGTAGGAGACATCTGGGAGGACATGAGAGGAATTCAGAGTCTGGGGAGGAGGCTTTGCACCAGAAACAAGGGGCATTCCCTTATATCTGAGAGGGGATTGAGCCTATGTTCTCTCTGTCAGCTATGTGGTGGTGATGCCTAAGAAGAGACAAGCACTGGTGGAATTTGAAGACGTGTTGGGGGCTTGCAATGCAGTGAACTACGCAGCTGACAACCAGATCTACATTGCTGGTCATCCAGCTTTTGTCAATTACTCTACAAGCCAGAAGATTTCCCGCCCTGGGGACTCAGATGATTCCCGGAGCGTTAACAGCGTTCTTTTATTTACCATCCTGAATCCCATCTATTCCATAACCACGGTGAGTGCTACTGGGCACTCCTAGAGGCTCCTCTGAGCTTTCTTCCCTTATCCTTCCTCAAGCCAGGCTGACCTTCTGAGGCCCCCTCATCTTGCCTGTCTTTCCTTCTACAGGATGTTCTTTACACTATCTGTAATCCTTGTGGCCCAGTCCAGCGAATTGTTATCTTCCGGAAGAATGGAGTCCAGGCTATGGTGGAATATCCTTTACTGGGGAATATGTTCTTGGGGCGAGGCTCCCAGAGCAGTGGACATTTCTTGGAGCAAGCAAGAAATGGTGCAGAAATGGGCATAGGGCAGCAGGTGTGCATTGTGTATAGTTGTGAAGATGGCATAAGGAGAGGTTCTGGGAAAAGAGTGTGAAAGGGGGTCTGGGCAGTTCTCCAAGGAGGTGCCATCCTGTTGCCATGCAGGGGTGGAGCTGGCTGGTTTCCAGGTTTTACCCAGAATGGCATCTGAGACAACTGGACTTGAAGAAGGTAGCTTGTCTTGGGGTGGTGGCTAAGAAGGTTGTTGGTGCAACTCAGCTGGTGGCTGGGGTGGGAATGCAGATCACCAGCCTGTGCCCCCAAAGCCACATGTGCCACAGTCTGGGATGTTCTTATAATCCTTTTGGAGGCACCTTGAATCCCTCCCCAAAGAACTATGGTGGGATGGATAGTCCTTAACTTGGTTTACATTCGACTCTGTGCAGAGTGCTCAGCGGGCTAAGGCCTCCCTCAATGGGGCTGACATCTATTCTGGCTGTTGCACTCTCAAGATCGAATATGCGAAGGTAAGTCTGGGGACTGACTGCCCTTCTGCCTTAGTTGGCCTCACCGTGAGACGTTGATGAATGGCTGATCTCAAGCTGTGCCTTGTCTTGCAGCCAACACGCTTGAACGTGTTCAAGAACGATCAGGATACTTGGGACTACACAAACCCCAACCTCAGTGGACAAGGTAATCCTGTTGGCCACTTTGTTTTAAACACAAGCGCCTCGCCTTCACCTGACTAGCGCACCTCATAACTGTGGGTTATGTAATGCCATTGGACTCCTGTGGACCCGGGAGGATCTTGGGTCAGTTCCTAGAAAAAGTGGGTGAATGAGGGACCTCTGTGCGTCCTGCAGCTTGGGGACCTGCGAAGTTGCTGAGTGTCCAGAGTGAGGCTGAGGCCTGGGTAGGGTGGGAAGAGGTCTCGCTGAAGACAAGGCGCGGCCTGGGCTTAGAAATCAGTAGCAGCTCCCAACTGGGTTTTGCTGTGGCTCTTCTGGCTTTTTAGTGGTTAATTGAAAATTAGAGTCTCATTGTTTTGCCTGGACTGGCTTCAAACCATGATCCTCAGATCTCAGCCTCCTGAGTAGCTAGGATTGCAGGTATTAACCATTGGGACCTTTAAATGGCCTCTGGTCAGGGCCAGGCCACTGGCTCTTCATCCCCATTGGGCCAGAAATAGACCTCACTTTCTGCTGGTGGAGGGAGGTGATGAGGGCTACTGGGATCTTAGAGCAGGCTGGCCTGGTAGAGGCAGGTGCTGGGACTGGGCCACGTGGCCATGTCTCACCTAATCTGTAGAGGATATTCAGCGTCTCTGCAGGAGCCCAATGGACAGCCCTTCCCTAGTGTCTGTCAGGAATGGTGGACGAGGGGGAGGTTGGTTTTAAAAAAGCAGCGGCAACTCCTCTGAAAATCAGCAAGACTGCCCATCCCTCGGTCTGATACGTCGACTAGGCCAGGGGCTGGGGGAGGAGGCTGGTCGTTGACATCGCAGAGGCTCTGGGAGGCCAGAGGCCCTCAGGCTGGGCAGACCTGGCTTGCTCGCCTTTGAAGCTGGGAAGCAGTGGGCAGGGTGGGCTAGACTCTGTCCCAGGACCCTCAAAGTGGAGCCCTGTGGGCCTGGCTCGCTCCCTGCAGAGGCCAGAGGCAAATTGATCAAGTGAATGTACCAGAGCGGGCAATGGCATTACATGACTGCTAACAGAAACACGGCAAGCAACCATTTCTTCTCCAAGGAACATAAGTAGAAGATGTGCAGAGCGGCAGGGGCTAGTGGCAGGGGCTGGCTGTGCATTGGTTTTCATGCCTCTCAGCTTTGGCTGCCCCAACGCTGGGGCCCCCAAACAAGGGCTGGTGAGGTAACCTGGAGTGAGGGCAGTGCTTCGCCGCCCTCAGGAACCAGACTTCAGCGGCTCTGCCTCTGCACACGCTCACCAACACACAGGGTAGAAAACCACTAGCGCTTCCTGGACAGCAGGACACGCAGCCGCACCACGACCCCAGAAACAGCCGCAGCCTTGAGCTCACTACATCAAGAACACCACACCGCGCTCCAACGAACAGCTCCAAGCACAGAGACAGAGGCAGACAGAGACAAAGAAAGAGACGCAACATGGCAGCAGACACTGCTTTTTACTAAACATTAAAGTCAAAATCCAAGCAGACTCGAGCCCGAGAATGTACACAGAAGTAGGAAACACAGAACAGCTCTCCCAGCCAGCCAGCCAGCGGTGCTGTTTTCGGAGAACGATTCATAGACTGCAGTAGATTCCATGGGCCTCCAAGACAATAGGATCCTCTCCATTCCTCGCCACGTGGGTTTGTTTTTTAAGTCCTTTGGTTTGGGGAGGGCCTTTTGCTATTTTTATTTTTTCTGCAGTCACCGGCTGCCAACACAATCTGCACCAACTGGAGATCAGAAACAAAAACCTTAAACCACAACAGCAACAACAAAAACTAAAAACAGATCTAAAAAAACCAGACAGCCAAAACAGCTCAGAGGCACACAGTTACCTGCTGGCGGGCAACCCGGCGCGCTCCCAAGGCCAAAAGTGCGCGCCTGGTGGGGCCACTGGCACACTTCATACCAGGAGACACGCACACGGAGCCTACACAGCCAGAAGCACCACCGCACTGCAGCACACACGTGAGGAGGTGACAACACGGAGGGACACAACCCACTGCATACACCTTTATTTGCACTTTCTGACATCTTCCCATCTTCCGAGGACAGAACATCTGTGAGCCAATCAATTTTGATTTAATCACAGCATTGACTTTTAAAGCAATTCTTAAAAAAAAAAAATGTAGCGGATGTATACTGTAACTTGTATTTATGACTGTAAAACCATGTGTGCAGGGTCGCAGTGTATGTTTGATGGGACGCCATCTTTCAGAACTGTGCTAACTCACTGTTGAAGCGTCCAATGGTAAGAGAAAATAAGATTTGCTTTTTTGTGACAAATGGACATTGTACTCTGTACTTCTGCTGTAAGTAGCCCTTTTCCATCTTTGTAATGACAGATTGGTGAAAAACCAACCCAAGCAAGGGCTGAGGTTGTGAGCCCTGGGTTTTCGAGTCAGCCAGACCTGGGTTTAAGTCCTGGCCCAGCTGCTGACTTTGCTTTCTGACGTTGGGTCAAAGTGTCTTTTAACTGCTCAGTTAAAAGGTAACTTCTCAAGTTTTCCTCTCTGTACAATGGGCTGAACGCACGGTACTTGCTACCTACCTCATAGGGTTGTTGTGAGGAATTTGGAAGCCGCTGTCTGTAATGTGTGTCCCCACGTCTGCCTCCTGAGCTGGCGGGGGGCTGGGGTGGGGGCGCCGCGCCATTGTTGGGTTTGAGAACTCTGGTGCCTCATGTGATCGCTGTCCTCACTGACCGCTGTAGCCTGCTCATCCTCCTCCTGTCTCAGGCTGGATGGGACTGGGGGTGGGGAGGGGGAACCGTCTGGGCCCTGAGTAGGGGGTAGATAGAGCTCCCAATCCAGAGCTTTGGAGGCCGCCCTTGACCCTGTTATCTGCCTGTCTTGGCTTAAGTCTCTGCTCTGAACCTCCTCTCCCTACACCGGGAACTGACGTGGCAGGTCCGCTCAGTGGCAGATTGCCAGTCTCCAGAGGCCGGCTGCTGCTGGGCGCCCTCTGCCCACATGGAAGCTGGCTTTCGCAGGCGTGGGCTCAGGAGAGGAGCCTGGGCTTCACGCCCACCCCCGCAGGTGTGAGGGGGCCCCATCCCCACAGCCCTCACTTGCTTGTAAGAAAGTCTGCAACCGCTCCGGGAGTGAGTGACCGCCATGGCCTCCGCAGTCAGGAGGGAGGGGCTCTTCCTCACGATCACCCCTAACTCTTCTCTGTGTCCACAGGTGACCCTGGCAGTAACCCCAACAAACGCCAGAGGCAGCCCCCTCTCCTGGGAGATCACCCCGCAGAATATGGTGAGGGCAGGGGGTTCCCCTCCGTGGACTCCCGCGGCGCCTGTGCCCCTGCCCGCCGCCCACCGCGCAAATTCTCACCCGCCCTCCCTCTCTTTCCTTCCCACCCCCCAGGAGGGCCCCACGGTGGGTACCACAGCCATTACCATGATGAGGGCTACGGGCCCCCCCCACCTCACTACGAAGGGAGAAGGATGGGCCCACCTGTGGGGGGTCACCGTCGGGGCCCAAGTCGCTACGGCCCCCAGTATGGGCACCCCCCACCCCCTCCCCCACCACCCGAGTATGGCCCCCACGCCGACAGCCCTGTGCTCATGGTCTATGGCTTGGACCAATCTAAGATGAACTGTGATCGAGTCTTCAATGTCTTCTGCTTGTATGGCAATGTGGAGAAGGTGAGCTGCCGCTGGGTTGGGGCTGTCCACACAGGGAGGCAGGCAGGGGGGAGGCAGGAGAGCCGGCTACAGACAAACAGGTAGGGGTGGGTCCCCAGTGAGCGGTTGATCATTTTGTGAACTACAGTTTCAAATATGAAGACTTAGCACTACATGAGTTAAAAGTCCTCATAGGGCATAGAAACAGTTTTTTTTGTTGTTGTTGTTATTGTTTTTTGTTGGTCATGGGGCCTGAACTCAGCCTGGGTGCCGTCCCTCAGCTCTTCAGCTCAAGGCTAGTGTTCTACTACTTGAGCCACAACACCACTTCCGGCTTTTTTTTTCTGCTTATGTGGTGCTGAGGAATTGAACCTAGGGCCTCATGTATGCAAGGCAAGCACTCTACCACTGAGCCACCTTCCCAGACCAGAAACAGTCTTCTTAGAGAGACTGTTGTATAAGGAAGCTCCAGGCAGTCATGGGCATCTTTTCTCCTTTCCTTTTGGAGGTGCTGGGGTATTAACTTAGGGACTTGTGCTTGTAGGCATGTGGGATCTACCTTTTGAACCATTGAGCCATACTTCCATACGTACATGTGTGTGTGCGCGCGCGTGCACGTATGTACGTACGTATGTATATATTAGTTGTGGGCCTTGAACTCTGGGCCTGGGCATTGTCCCTAGCTTCAGCTCAGGATGAGCTCTCTACCTCTTTGAGCCATTGTGCCACTTACGGTTTTCTGTTGGTTAGTTGGAGATAAGAGTCTCATGGACTTTCTTTTTTTTTTTTTTTTGGGTCCAGTCGTGGGGCCTGAACTCTGGGCCTGGGCGCTGTCCCTCAGCTCTTCAGCTCAAGGCTAGCACTCTACCCCTTGAGCCATAGCGCCACTTCTGGCTTTTTTTTTTTTTTTTGCTTATGTGGTGCTGAGGAATCGAACCCAGGGCTTCATGCA